ATCTCTCTTCCCATGCAACAGACAGATTTCTATAAGCTTGAAATTTAAATCAAGCTAAATACAAACACAAACTTCCAGAGGTTTTACCAGCAGAGATCATCCCACTGGAAAAGAATTCAGGCATACTGTCATTTACCTTGTATTTGCCTTTAATAATGCCTTCAAATAATCTTTCCTTGGTTCCATAAAAAGGCAAACAACCGCTTAGCAGGATAAAAAGGATCACACCACAACCCCAAACATCTACAGGCTTCCCATAAGGTTCTCTTTTTACCACTTCTGGGGCCATAAAATGAGGTGTTCCTACACGTCCTAAATGAAAACAAAAAGAAAATTGTGTCAAACAAGGAAATGAAGAATATCACTGCATTAAACTAAAACAGTTTTAATAAATGTTGGTCATGGATTAGTCTTTATTAATTGTATCCAGTCAGACAAATCAGTATTTTCCTTTTTGCTTTATTATACTTTTATAAACTGAGCAATGTTCTATTCTACCCTGCAGACTGTGAAATAAGACTAAGATTCTTCAGTGGAACATGCCATATAGAAGCAAAGTCATCAATTTGGACAATCTTTGAAACAGGAATTATTTATCCAGAGGGCAAGTACAAAGATATTGTAGAGCTCTAGCCTACACAGCTAACTTGAAAAAGCTGCCTCTCATTGGCAAGAGCATGGTTTGGGCTGATGCTGTGCTCAAACCTACACCAGTCTACCGAAACTGCCAAAAAAATGCAAACTGCCAGCTAATGTGCTGTTCATTTATTTGAAGCAGACAGTATCTTACTGCAGACAAAAAGATAATGTTAATTTGTTTTACAGGGTGCTTTCAGTAATGGTTCTGGGAAAGCACTGAGTTTGGATTGGTAATGAATATGCACCCACAGAAACAAAACATATTTAGTACCAACTGATTTTGAGTAGATAAACTGATTACAGCGACTTCATTCAAATTCCAAGCATCACATTAAGCCAAATAAAAGCAAGGAATATTTTACCTCTCCCTGTAAATGCTTCCCATTGTAAAGAGTTCTGTTTCTATTGCAAGAAATAAGCTTTGGATGCTCAAGTCACCACTGGCACTTACAGGGCAGTCTTTGGACCCCCTGGTTCCATCAAGTACCAACAGAAGAAAAAAACCCACAACTGTAGCAAACTGTCACCACTTGTACCACCTTGAAAAATTATTCTGGCTCCCTGACACTGCAGTGGACTTCAGAGGCTCCATTCAAGGCTCACAGCATCTCTCTGCTGGCTAGGAGAGTTTGAAGTGCAGCCTAGAGGATCCGAGGTGTTCGCAGAGCACGTGTTTAGTTCAGTCTTGTCTCGTACAGGGACTCTTGCTTGAGTGGCCTGTCCTGCCCAGCATTTGCATGGGAGTTAGCTAAGGCTCAGCACTGGTAACCAACACCTAGGAGAATATCTGCAGTAGCTTATTCAGTAAAGACCATCCTCAGTTTATCCCACCTAATGCTGGAATACCCCCTGGCCATGTTCTGTGAACTGGTCCCCACTCACTCCTTTTTCCATCTCAAGGATTGACAGAAGGATGGCAGCTTTTCCACCATCCCTTTCTTTAGGAGAAACAACACCATTGGCAAACTTCTGCACCTGGTTTCAAGCTCAACCTTTTCATTCCCAGTTTATGAGGCAATTCCTCTGCCAAGCAAATGTTAGGAAATCTGCCTGGGACAGAGCAATGTTACCTCATTACTAAGCTAGGTTGGCATCTTAAAAAATCCACATAGTCTAGGCTGACATAACAGCAAAGGGGCAGTTCCTTCCCAGGCTAGAAAAGAATTAACCAGCAAAATGCTGCAAGTCCAGCTCATCCCTCATATCACAAGGGGGAGGATGAAGGATATTTAGTCTGGATAAAGACAGAGATGGACATGGGGAAGGATGACTAATTCTTCTTGTTGGCTATACAGAATTTATACATGACAGATCTTTCAGCCTGATAAACCTCAAAGCTAAATCTTCAAGATCATATATATGAGTCAAAGAATTATCTCCTTAGATGACTCTGTTAAATGCCTGGTGATGGAGAAGGGAAGGAAAACACAAATTATATATATCCAGTATGCACAAGTTGCTGAGAACTTGGTTTTTTGTCTTTTTTTTTTTTTTTTTATAATGTGCCTATAAACATCTATCTATAAAGTTTTCCTCATTTTTTTTTTCCCCTCTATGATACCATCATTTGTGACAGAAAAAGTATCAGCATTTCCAACACTGTATCAGGCTATGCATGTACATAAGCAGCAACACCTGCCTGTTTAAACAGCATTTCTCTATCACTTAGACTGCTAACGTGATGTAAGTGGTGTATTTACCACAGTATGGAAACCTTTAGTACAAAAGAGATCATCAAAGACCACAGAGCAGCCTGACTTACCCAAGTCTTGTTTATCTCAGTTGTAACTTCCTGACATTTGGGTGCAGAGGAACCTCTTTGCAATTTTGGAGCAGGTGTAACCTTTCTTACATGTTGAAAAAAAATATTTGCAGTACTAAAGCTCATTTAATTTTTTAAACCAACATGAATGAAAAATCATGTATACTCTGAAAATTCTGCCTTCCCATCAGGCTTTATAATTGCTCTTATAAAACCTGGCAAGTCTAGAAAAAAGTGATTACTTAAAAGACAAGGGAGAAATCAGTAGAAGACAAGGTATCACAAGGACAAAGCAAACTCTTTAAGAGGCATTAAACTCCAGGGAGGTATACAGTTATCTGTATAAAGTAGCTAAGGGAACTGTGAATCCTCTGTATCAAATGAAATCCACTTTGATTTCATGTATATTCCCAATAACTATGTGTCACTCCTCTCAGCTTGGGAATTTCTGTGTGTTTTAAGCAGACAATTGCAGAGACGAACACGGTAAAAAAATGACTGTGCTGTGAGAACTATGCTTAAAGGTTTGGGTTTCAGCTTTGGGGTTTTTTTTGGTCAGTGCATTTAAATCTGCTGGACATTGAGTACAGTGAAGGCTGAAGACCTATAGAGCAGCTGATGTCCTTGTAAACAATTACTCATCCTATCTTTTCTCCTATGGTGTAACATATCATATTTAGCAGCCACACAAGCTACATAAGCAATCTGATAGCATGACTGGGTGTGGGAGTCAAGGTGCTGGCACTGGGGGGCTGCAGGGGAGAGGCTGGGGCTGTCCCATGCTGGACACACAGCTCCAAAGGACACACTGCAGGGCACAGCTGAGCTCAGCAGTCAAGATCATGGTGTGTAAGAAAGGGGAAAACATTGCCTAGCAGTGAGGAGTTCAGGAACAGACATTCCCCACCCTCCCTGCACCACTCTGGGCTGGGGGTAAGGGAATCACGAACAGGGGGGTGAAGCTGAGCCTGGGAAGAGGAGAGGAGGTGGTGTTTTTGTTCTTGTTTCCCACCACCCAAAATCTATTTGATACTTCAAGGTTCCTATTTTCTTCTTATCTGGTGACCCCACACCAGAATATGAGGCTGCGTGTTCACTTAGTACTCAAGTGCTCATACAAACTGACAAGTTAAAAATCACTGTCCCTTGCTGATCATCACACATTTTTTTTCTCCTCCCTTGGCAAGTTACAAGGTAGTTCTTCTAGCCCAGGTAGAAGAACTGGATCTTTGTTGTCCCAGCTCAAAACAAGAATACCATAAAAATCCACTTTAGCGAGCTGCTTGATGCTGAGCAGAAGGAATAGAGTGGTTTGGTAACAGGAACACAGTAAATGGCTGTTCAGGTCCCCAATGCACTGCTGCTATAAACTAGATGGAAAGTGGATGGTGCTTACCAGCAAGCTGAAAAATCAGTGCTACTAAACCTTAATGCTCACTTTCAGATTTAACATGCACTCCATAAATACAAAAGAAATGAGAAAGAAGACTAGGCTAACTTAATAAAATCCTGCCATTTACCACTGCTAGACTATAATTAGTGAAAATACTACAGAATGTTTTGATTTTGTAACCTTTATAGTGCTGACTACTAGAACCTGATACTTCAGACACAGATGGTGGTGGAAATCACAGTTTTATCTCCATGAAAAAACAAACTCAAACAAGCAGAAACTTAATGGGATAAAACTGAACTGTCCAGTTACACAGGATTAAAAAAAAAAAGTATACCTGTGTGTATGTATGTATTAGAAACTTCAAAAGGCTGAAGTCATTTGTGGGCCAGCTGTCACCTTTGTGACACCTAACCACTTTGCTGGGCTCGTCAAAGGAGGAAATGATGATTTAGAGGTTATTCTAAAAACTGACCCGAGCAAGGACAACTGAGCTGCACCTTTGAACTGCACCCAGCTCAGCAAAATGACCAAAGTGCACACATGAACTTACATAGACTGAGATTTTTCCTACACTACAACTATGAGACCTGTAAGGTGAATATCAGTAACAGGATAAATAAAACCTACAGACAGCAGAGTTGTCTGAAATCATGAATACTCACTGCTTTTTAGACTAAGTATCACCCCTGCTGAAAATAATCTAGCAGAAATTCACCTTCTAAACATGCCCAATGTAAAATTTGAAAATTCTTCTCAAGAGTTCAATTGTTTTAAAATATTTTAGGAGCTTTTGAATTTTCTTTGGTGTTATGGGAGAAGCTTTGCATCTTTCTGGAGTCATGGTGAGAAAGAACAGTAAACAAAGGCACTTTTCTCTGTAACAGATAACTTCTGCCTTCCACAAGTCTTTTATTCTTCAGGATATAAGAACACTAATGGAGATATTCCAAGGATTGCCCATGGAAAAAATGACATTTAAATTAAATATATACTGCATGCATGCATACACACAGGTTTTTCAGTTGTATATACATCTGACAGGAAAGACTGGAATCAATTTTGTGTCTCTGTGCTTCTAGGTTCTTCTTGTCTGTTCTAGAGTAGCATCAACTGAAAATCACCACTACATAAAGACTCAACGGTGGTATGTGTGTAGTCAGTGTGACATTTGCCACCATCCACACAAATACCTACAGCAAAGTGTTTGCTGACTGGGGGAGCACTCAATGCCTGGACAGGTACAGGCATTAGTAACGTTATTGCTAGGGGGAAACATTCCTATCAGACAGTTTGGAGGCATTTTGTTTGCCTGTAAATTTCCCAAATTGCTAATTTTGCTGATTTTTTTTCCCTGTGGATAAACAGAGAGCTTCAGTCTTCAGGTGCTGTCAATCTGATATCATTTACAAGCACTAAAGATAAATTTTGACTTACCTTTGATAATTTAGTTTCTATGACTCTTTCCATATTATTCCAGACAATAGGGCTATGCTTTCCACAAGAAGAAGAGTATAT